TCTGTTCACCTGTCTGTCTCTGTTTACCTGTCTGTCTGCTCACATGTCTGTCTGTTCACCTGTCTGTCTCTGTTTATCTGTTTGTCTGTTCACCTGTCTGTCTCTGTTTACCTGTCTGTCTGTTCACCTGTCTGTCTGCTCACATGTCGGTCTGTTCACCTGTCTGTCTGCTCACATGTCGGTCTGTTCACCTGTCTGTCTTGCAGGGCTGTGAGTTTCAGGTGGGCATGAAGTTGGAGGCGGTGGACAAGAAGAACCCTGGACTGGTCTGCGTGGCCTCTGTTGCTGATGTCATTGACGACCATTTCCTGGTTCACTTTGACAATTGGGACGACAGCTACGACTACTGGTGAGAAAGACAGGTGACTGTGAGACAGGTGGTCAGACCGGTGTGTCAGTGTGTGTCTTGGTATTGTTCAGGTGTGACAGCAGCAGTCCTTACATCCATCCTGTTGGCTGGTGTGAGAAGGAGGGACGACCTTTGACTGCTCCACAGGGTGTGTAGTATTTATACATGTAGTACGTATGCATGCAGTGTATACCTGCTGTAATTAAATGTACTTATATTCTGTATACTCTTAAATTACCTGTAATTCCAGCTGTCCAGCTCCTAGTCATGAAGGTACTAATACTCTGTAGTACTTTGGTTTATCAGGTCATCCAAACCCTGAAAACTTTGTGTGGGAGGAGTATCTGCAGGAGACTTCTTCTGCTGCTGCTCCCAGTTCAGCTTTCACTCTGGTGAGAGGAGGAGCTTTGTTCAGGTCGTCCCATCAGACAGCTCCTGTCATGACTGACAGCTGTTTTTGTCCAATCAGAGAGCTCCACATGCTTTCCAGGTGAACCACAGGCTGGAGGCCGTCGATAGGAGAAACCCTATGCTTCTCCGTGTCGTCACAGTGACCGACACAGAAGACTACAGGATAAAGGTACTGTTTGATTTCATGTGTGTGTTTACCTGTGTGTGTTTACCTGTGTGTGCACCTGTGTGTTTACCTGTATGTGTTTACCTGTGTGTGTTTACCTGTGTGTGTTTACCTGTGTGTTCACCTGTGTGTT